GTGTCACTCTCTATACTGATTATTTACCCCTTCAGAGGCCCTTCTGACGTGATTGAATTACCTTCGGCCCTTCAAGTTGTCACAGTGACTAAGCGCTCAGTCGACTACAGACCAGTCAGGCTATATTCTTCAAAATAAAAAACATGCCCTCACTAGATATCTATCTATACATATATATTATCAAACTTCCGCTGGCTCAAGGAAAAATTTGAAGTTCACCGGTTTGACCATCTTTGTAGATTTAAAGCATACGACTAATACAGAATCTCTTCACTCCATAGCGTCCCATAGTCCTTTATACTGCTTGTAGATATCCCAAAGCCGGCGACGATTCCTCATGGAATTATCCTTGGCGCAGCGTGCGAGAAACCGCGAGAATGGGAATTCCCTTAGTCTCTCCTAGACAGACTACAATAACTCGTACCTCGCTAGTTGTAGGTCTGTTATTTACTTGGTGTTGATGTACGTCGATCAAAGTTGTTATATAATCATCGGAGTTTGAACCTTTCGCGATATTACAGAGAGCCGTGGTTGGGTTCTTGTAGGCGATTTTTTCTGATTTTCGGGCATGATTAACCGAAACAAACATTTTTCTCTCCCAAATCTCGGGTGGGATGCATGCAAATTCGATTGGCAGATTTTGGGCCAAGTCCGCACGTGATGGTTACGCTCAAGAGGCGGGCACCGGGAGATGCCGAGAAACGTACCGACTTCCGCCACCGGTCCGATGTCCCGGATTTCGGCTTTTGCGCCTTCCCTCTCGCCCTGGGGCAAAAATAATCGGTGATGACCTCCCCATTGTCATATGCTCTCTACAAGATGGTCGATTTTATTTTTGAAATGGAGAAGAATTGAAGCCACTAGGAGCATTTGATGGAATTCCCATATTTGGAGTGGCAAATGATGGCACCTCAATATCTCACGAAGAAGCCTCCCTAGCCAAAATCTGACTGCGCCTAGGGGGACTTACAGTGGGTTTGGCTATCGATTGGCATTTTTGTTTGTACTTTTTGAATCACCCAATCTTGAAATCAAGGTGTTAGAAATTTTAAAACCGTCACCCTAGAAAAGTGTACTCCCAAAAAAATTTTTTTTTTTTTTGCAAACCTCATTTATACACTGTATCTAGCCATAGGAGGTTGATTTTAAAAATTCCGGAACTGCCCCACCTCTTGGTTACGCTCAGCTATTTTCCCAGCCAAGGACAAAGGGGAAAGTGGTTGTACAGCTCAGAAATAGAGTGAATGCGATTCAGAAATGCTTTTGCCTCTTAGGTTTTTCCCTCAGTCCACAGAACAGGGCTCATGCACTTGGACCGTCATTCAAACTCCGATGATTATATAACAACTTTGATGGCCAATACACAGGGCGCGGTAAACACGGGACTAGAATTCCCTCGAGTCGAAGGGGGACATATTCACATCTGCGGTGGGTGCCTATCTGCCCTCCCCTAAAATGGCCACTATCTCCTGTGCCATTACGGCGGCAGTTTCTTCGGCTGGATTCAAGTCGGCGTCATAATCGTGGTCAGTGGCATCGAAGTAGTTGGGCCCGGCGAAGCTAGGACAAAGCGCGGAAAGGAGACAGAGGTGTTCCTCCTTCATTCTTTGGGTCTGAGTCCGACTAAGGAGGCGGAGATTATCGAGAATTATAGTGCGCCCACAGAGGAAGACCGATGCTGTACGTGGCTTCCTCGCAGCCTCCAGAAACCGCCCCATGATCTATCGCATTCAACAATCCCGTGATTTCCGCGACAACATGGCGACAACTGTCACACTGCCTCTATACTCAAGGAGGTCGGCTGTAGATCCATTGAAAACTGGACTCCTCGCCATAGGAGTGAGTTCAAGCTTACACTTTTAGCTCCGCCGAAGTAGTACCAGCCATGCACGACTTGCATTAACACTTTTTCTACAGGTTAATTATTGCTACCAGTACTGGGAGCCCACCACTGAACATCTATCCATTGCTCACATACCGGTTCCAAAAGCCGCGCTCCATTAAGACCCCGTCGAAAGAGCGAAATATTCTAAATACCGTTAAGACCCCGTCCGATGAACACACGTATGAACAGCTCGGGACCGTCCTGGTGGCAACGGAACGCCCACAGCAATAATAATAATAATTAGTCCCAGCCGATAAAACAGGTAAATTACCTTGCTGACATCCTTGTCTGGTACCACCCACTTTCTTCGATCTTACCCGGCTATGTTCTGGAAGCATACAAGTATTTTCATCGCTCTCTGGTTTTGCAGGAACCTATTGGCCCATGCCAAGCCCCTCTCCATCTCCTCCGGCCGTGTATTATATATTATTTTTATTTTGCCGCAAACTCCGAATTTTCAGCACGCAACGGCAATTGATTGATTTTTCGAGTTATACGCCAGGATGGTACCTGGTTGCTGGCAACCGCCAGTGACTATTGATGGCCGCCACTAGCCAGCGGGCAATAGTGGCTGACAAAACCCGATCATGCCTTCGATCTTCCTGTCTCTATTTCTACTCTATTACACATAGATATTCAGCGTATTTGGTCTGTAAAGGAAACCGGGATTGGGCGGATCCGGCTCTTTAAGCACGAGTTGATGAAGGAAATTGAAGTAGTGCTACTCTCCAAGCAACCGATGAGAATAAAATGAAATAGAAATAAGATAGGATTGGGCTAAAACCCTATATAACCAACTATGATCTTGTCACCAAACAGCTTTACACTGAATTAGTGGATCTTCAGCGTGGCAGAGAGGTATCCCCAATTTGCAGCTACAGTACGCTACTGAACAGTTAGTTCGATGCAAATGCTGAGTGAGCAAGCGGCATCACTTTGGTTCACACGGAGAGTGAGGAGACAGATCTCCAACTGGATTGTAGGAGGCAAAGCTTGTCTTGACAGGAAGGAAAGCCTCCCTTTATATATGGTAGTCTATGGAATATTCTATGGGACTCGAGTCAGAGTCAGAAGATGAATGACTAGGAATGACTCATGCCCGAGACGATGATTGGATGTGAGATCCATGGCTGATTTTTCCTTATTATGAAAACTATGCCTTTATGCGAAAAAGTGGATGTGAGATCTGTTGGCCGGCGGAGGATCGTAGAGTGAGGGTGGGGTGCCAGATCTCTCATTTAGACCCAGGCTTACTCAGAACGAGGATTGGATGTGAGATTCATGGATTATTTTGCCATCTGCGGCCACTCTTATTGCGAAAAGGCACGGTATTACGAGAAGAAGTGGATCTGAGATCCATTGGCCGGCAGAGGATTGTAGAGTGAGGGTGGGGTGCCAGATCTTTCATTTAGATCCATGGCTGATTTTCCCAGTCATGGCCAGTCATATTGCTAAAATGTGCGCTGCTAAAACCATTGTTCTCCTCAATCTGTTAGAAAGAGTATTTCACATTTTTCATTCTGATTCTTGGTTTAAGCTGCCAGAAAAACATTTGAATTTTTCACTTACATTCAAGCTGGGAAAGGCAATAATAAATAATAAATGACATGTCTTTTTTCATTCGTATTTCAGTGAAAAAAGTCCAGAAAAAGAAGGTGAAATTTGTCTTCCCCATTTTTCACTCTTCTGAACTAGAACTGTACAACCCGGACCTTTCCTGGCGTGGATGGTGTCCTAGCCCAAGCTCATTAGCAAGACGGTGACCCAGAATCACTGCAGGGGTTCATGCATCTTTCAGACCCAAAAATGGCTTTCAAAGAGGTCTACCATTCTTGTTCATTTTTGGGGGCACAGGGGAAAAAAGCCAAAGATGTCGAGTGTTTTCTTCATTTTCCCTCTTGATAGAAGATTTTTTGACTAATAAAGCGGCTTTGCAGAATTTCTTCCAGTCGAGAATTGATTCTATTCATAATACCAAATATTGATTGAACAATGGGCCCCATTGTCCATCCAGTCTTTCATGCTCCAATAATGTTTCATTTCACTGCGTTTCAAGGGCGGGTCGGCAGAGTCTGTTGACCTGAGCGGACGTCAGTGGATCTGTGCCGACCCGGCGCGGCAACCTCTGCCGAGCCTTGATTGGTAGAAGTGTGCCGACCTGGGTCGACACTCTGCCTACCCCTCTGCCGACGAGCTGCACACAAATATTTTGCGCCACTCCCAGCTTCCAGACTTCCACCAAAGCTGGTCCCTAGACCGATTTGGGTCCTCCAAATGCATTGAGAATGGTTGCGAGACGCAATTTCTTACGGCAGAAGCTTCCCGAAGTTCCAGAAGTTCGGGTCTGCCGAGCTCTGCCGACGGGGATCGGCAGAGTCTCTGCCGACGAGGCCTTGAAATGCAGTGTTTGTGCCACCAAGAAACAAACATTGTTTCAATAACCCTTTAGCCCTATTTTGACCACTGAAAGAGACACTGGCAAAAGGGAGAAGACAATCTTGCATTTTTCATCTTATCTTTGTCACAAGCCCTAAATTTAGCGAAACAGGTAGACATCTTTGAACCTCATTTTTGGGTCACAAAGATGTGTGGACCCCCGCAGTGAATGGCTTGTAGAAGACATTATCAACAAGTGCTCTCGCCGCAAGGGAAAACAATACCTTGTCCAATTTGTGGGTTATGGCAATCACTGGCTCCCCGGCCGTGAAGTCGCCGAATTCGAGGTCCTCGACTGAAGGATTGAAGGATGGTCCTGGGTTTTTCTCATCACTCTACTTACTGTTCGTTTCTGGTCTGCAGAGTGATTTCCCCATAGAGACACCCACGGAGCATTGTATAGGTAATTTCTATTTCATTTGGATGGGAAGGTGATATCTCATGGAGGGGAGCAAGGGGGTGTCGGCATTCAAGATTAGCATATATGTAGGGTCAGAATTTTTTTTTTTCAACCCAACCTGGGCCTCAGGCATCACTACAAGGGCTGTCTCTGACATTAAGACAGAGTTGACTTTATCATCAATTCCTCAGCTTGGGCAAAAGAATAGTGGTGTGCCTAGATAATTATTGTTTGGGGGAAAAAGAATGGAGAAGACAAATTCAGGTTGAGGACCAAAAGGGCCTCCACGGGGATTCGAACCCCGGGCCACCTGCAGAGTTGCCACTTACGTAATCAGTGCTCCCAAAGCAGGTATCGTACCACTAGACCATAGAGGCATGAAGCTTTATTCTCAGCTTTTGTCACCTAGTGACCCACGACGGAGTAAACAAAGCCACAACGTTAACATCTAAGCACAAATGCCATATTTAAAATACACTATTCTCACATGACTATCTTACAGCACCAGCAAAATACCATAAAGATTTGGTTGCAGAGATCTGCATTCAATGTCGGGCACCAGCAATGCTGGTTCAATTTCAGCCTGAGTGGTTTCTGTTTCTTTTTATTTCTCATCCGGAAAAATATGTCCAGGCTCACCCCACTCAATATCACTGCCTATGCAATGCAGAAATCAATTCCTTTTCTGACAGTTCAGTTTATTTATCCCCACTCACATGTTGGATCTATCACTGGTTGGGTACTTCACTGAGTTTTTCAGTGAAAAACTTCCTCACAGTCATTGGCAGTACCGAAGGTGCGCCAAGAAAATTTCCATTTTGAGCTGATTTTGCCGGTATTCAAATTATTTGTATCTCAGCGAGTTCTTATTTATGTAAATGACCTAATAACTGGCTAGAATTAATTGGCTACTTAATTTATGCACAATTAGTCATAGAGCTAAAGTAGTAAGAATGTTTTATTCTCTGAGAAACTGGGTTTCTAAGTGAGAATCTGCGCTGGCATGCCCAAATGACATGTGAATAATCTGGCCTTTTCATTGACAAATGTTGCATCGGAAGCAGTATGATATAAGGATGCACATGGGGCATACTCCAATGAGTATTTCACCGCTTCCACCCTGAGGTTCTTGTTCGAAACAAGGTACTGCTCTGTGATCTTGCTATCTTTTCCCACCCAACAAATTTCCTTCCGCCCTCGGGTTCAAAATATACTGAATGAACGCAGTATGGTGTACTTATGCACATGGGGTGTACTTCAGTCAGCTTCCACCACTTCCATATGACGGTATTTATCGCTATTTGATATGAGTACTCAGGTTCGAACACCGTAGACCACGCAACCGCTCCCAAATTTGTACTTCTGTACTACAACCGTACATCGTAACGGTGTACAGTCGAGAGAGCACTAGTCACGTAATAAACGGTAAAAAAAGCTTTTATACTTCCTCCCCAAGGGCCGTGTTCAAATCAAAGTACTACTCTGCGCAGACGGTTAGTACCTTTTTTAGTATCCTCCAACTAATTCCCCTCGCACTCAGTCATCAACAAAACGTTGAAATGAAAGCAGTTATCACAATGCACACGGGGTATTATTAGCTCCGATCGAGTGCATTCACCCCGAAGCAGTGATGTTCGGGTCGGGTCGGGTCGGCCAAGCCCGGGCTTTGGGTCGGGTCGGGATGGGCTTGGGCTCTAAGACATCCTGAGCCCGACCCTGCCTTGTGTCTTGGGCCTGGGTTGGGTCGGGCTTGACTGTATTGCTTTCCCCACAAGGCATACAGTAAGTTTTTCAGTGATGAGATAGTTTGTTGTGTTGCTCCTTACCTCCCTTGAAGCCTCGTTAATATTCTGGGGTTGTAAATGACCTGTGGGACTGATCCAGATGATAGTTGTGGATCAAAATATCGGGATGCTCCTTACTGGGGACACGGCCTCGGGAAAGACGTTAGTGATGCCTAGAAGTCTAGAGGAGAATTTTGGCAAGTCCTAAGTCACATAGAATTGAAGTTCCTCACCAAAACTTCACCCCATGGGATATGTACACCCACCCGGGCCCAGGCCTGGGTCGCAGGTCGGAGGAAATCCTGAGCCCAACCCTGAGCCCAGTCTGAGCCCAATTTGGGTCGGGCTTGGGTTGGGCTCAAAAGACCCGAGTCTTGGGTCGGGTCTGGGCTCAAGCCCAGACCCGGCACATCACTACCTCGAAGTCCCTCCTTCCTTTTTGCATCTTGTTACTCCTCCCACTCATTTTTCCTCCTCTTGTCCGGGTTCTAAATATACTGAATAAACACAGTATGGTGTAGTTAGGGATCGCCGCTAGCTGTAAATATATATATATATTCTTCTATTCGACTTGTGTCACTGGTCTTCAACCTCCGCCTCAGATACATCTTGAGTCCGAAAAGGAACAGTTGACTTCAGCCAGCAATCCCCTGGCTCATATCTTCTCATTTAATTTTTGTTTTCACGGAGTCAAGACGAAGTTGAGCATCTGAGGCGTTACATCAAACAGCAACAGGAGAAAATCACAAGGGGGTAACGTGAACGGCGATGTCTGCATAAATTAGTACGTATAGATCACATCAGCCGCTAAAGGCACTGGCAGATGCGGAAACCGCTCTGCAGCCAGACCTTTACAGTAATAGTGTGACGGTGTCTAAAGCGCACACGATCCCAGCGAAAACTGAACATGCTTGGGCTCGGAGAAGATGAAACATAAACGGGGACGCACTCCCCCGACGCTGTTCCCTGTTTAAGTCGGAGAAGATGAATAATCATATTGCAGCCTGGAAGTGCAGGAGGAAGTCCAAGAAAATAGGATTGTGAAGAGCTTGTTTCATTGTTTAGGGTACACGCGCACGTCAAATAGCCGCATGCCAACAATTATGCCTCACCCGCCGTCGGCGTGCACGTGCAAAATGACTCGTAGTCAACGGCGGAATGGTACTCTCGAATTCGATATACGCGGATCGCGAATCGGTATCAATCCTGGTGAGATCATAGCTCACTGATGGGCGACATCAAGGTGGCGAGACACGAGAAGGATAACATGTAAGAGGGTAAACATACCGATTTGATCGTGGGTATTCGTAACCAGGAACCACCTTTGTGCGATGAGGGCAACGCACCCCATTGCCGGCCCAGTACAGGAGAATAGTAAGATCTGCAGCAGATGATAAGGTAGGTGTCATTTAAAAAGGTCTGTGCATTTGAACGGCATTCTGAACGTGATAACCACAAGTCATATTACCCGCCGAATAGAGCTCAAGAGAGTTTGACCTAATTAGCGCTGCGCTGGTAGGGCGTATTGAACTGGGGAACCACTGTTTGCCTCGTTCCCAGGGTGTTGGTTATCGATGTAGACGCGATAGTGGCGACGCTGTTCCCCCCGATCTCGGGCGGCGCGAGGTTCAGCGACACCACTGCCCCTGGTGCGAGCGTAGCCTTCTCGGCCGCGAAATCGTCAATATCCACAATGCTTCCAGCGCCGTGCGTGTTGTCAACCGGATGAATAAATTCTCTGGCATCTGTGGGTACCCGTGCGGCGGATCTTCGTTCGAGTCGGATTACCTTGGCAGCATTGCGAGTTAGTCACTCGTAGACAGACACTTTTAACAATTGAAGCTCGTACCTTTGTCGTACCTCGCTTGTTAAAATTACGAGCTCCTATAAGCAAATGTATAAGAGCGATGATGCGAGTGGCTCTTTCATTTTCACACTTAAGATTGCCTCGTCGGATTACCTTGGTGGCATTATGAGCTCCTATGAGGAAATAGTATATAAGCGCGATGCTTTCGTTTTCGCTTCCTACAAGCTCCAGTATGGCAAGCTGTCACTGCGGCTCAGAACCCGCGGGTCAAATTGAAGTCCAGGATAGCAAATACGCGACACAACCTCAACTGATTCGTACCTGGGATTATCACTATCTAGTATTTCGTGATCAACACTCACCAATGAGATTTTTGCTGTGTGGAGACGGCGGGTGCAAAACCACCAAAGCCAACATCCACCAGATGTTTCCCGGCCTCCGCGTCCTCCCTCGCCCCGAGCCTGATTCTGCTAGTGGTATTACGAAGGACGCGCACGACGCCTGGGCGGTGGAATACCAAGGGCTGGGTCATGCTCTGGGTACCACAGGTGGAGGTGAGTGAGCTTATGGGACCCCCGTGCGCAATACTTAATATTTTGTTGAATTCAGACTACGCCGGGGTTGAGAGCTACATTGGTGCCAGAGATTCGTGTGCCCTTGTGGAATTGGCTAAGCAACAGTGAGAATTTATAGCGGACCGATACGGATGTACTATATAGCTCCTAGACCGAGAGACCGAGACATCTTGAGGGCATGGTGTTGTGTAAGTCATTTTTGCGCCGTTCAAGTTCTGCTCCGATGTGAGGGAGAGCGCGAGCCAACTGCTTGAAATCGGGCTACGACTCACGAGAAAGGGCTAAAGTAGACAGCCGCGCCATGTAACGGCGCTGGGCTGCGTGCACACTCGGTACTCTTGCAATAGATTCAGGACACCGGCGGCCTCGGGGCGGGCAAGGCCGACACTACGGCCGTCGCGGTGGACGTGGCGGCCGCGCATGCGCATCGCGGGCGGCGGCGGGGGCGAGAGCGTGATGGGGAGCGTGGCGGTGAGGGGAGCGGCTCCCACGAAGGGTCAGGAGGAGCCAGGAGCTGCGCTGTTTTGCCGGCGTGGGGGTGATGTGGCAGCACGCCCTTCTTGGAGGAAGGGCGGGGCGAGAGGACTTGCGCGGACTGCTGCGAGGAGGGCGAGGGTCGCAAGGATGGTGAGGGCGAGGCGGAGGGAGGCCACCAGCAGCGCTAAATGCGGCGAGGCGGAGAGAGTACCAGCAGTGGTGCATCCGAAAGGTGACTCGCCGCCGGGGTCCCCCGCCCTCATTGCATCCCCGAGATTGCTGTGCACCTCGCGTGCAAGTGCGTACATACCGCGAATGAAGTATTACTTGCGAGGGAGATGCATAAACGTTATCTAATAATCAGAGTGAAGCGTCCGAGTCGACACGGTGTGTGCCAGGCCACGGCGACCGGCCCATGCCGGTTGACAGCAACCAAGTGGTAAAGTCTGCGTCTGTCTATTGCTTAGATTTTGAAAACCCATTCGCCTTTGAAACAAATTTTAACCTGTTCTTAAAACTTGAACATATAGGGGGTAACCGTGCCCCTAGGTTACCTCGCTGGTTACCCCCGCGTAAGCTTGCCGAGGTACTTAACCAGCCCAAATATACTTAAGTATGACTATTACGAGATACTTGGAGTACTACTCCGGGTCCCGGAAAGATCCGGCTGATGGAGACACGTAATGCCGTCGCGTCGACGCGCTTCCAACGCGCTTCACCGTTTGAGCCAATCC